TTCAATGAATAATCTTTTTATCTGTAATAATTCAGATTAGATCATTGAGGTAAGGAGAAGGGTAAGGGGGGAGGGACTTATAGGCTGGTTGTATTACGCTTTTTTTTTAAAATTTTATTTCATTTATTTATTCTTCTTTCATTATTTTTTAAAGCGGGAAGATACTATTTAAATTTTTCAATAATGTTTTACTTTTTTTCTGTTAATTTTTTTAAGTGAAAAATGTGTTATTTTCTATTTTAAATTATATTTTGTGAAGAAGTTGCTAATGTGAGGCTTAAAGTAGCCAATCGGGGAAGTTTGGAGAATTTATGTGTTGGAGGTTTGTTCGTGATTGGAGGTGAAAGTATTGGTCCTTTTTAATTAGTTAAAAACGCGCGACACGAAAAAAAAACATGCACGGAACAGCAAAATGCGCTTCAATCTAATCTTCTCATTTCAAATATTTTCCCTCCCCTACAGAATTTTCCCTACACAGGTACCTTTTTTTCCGTACCTTTTTTTCCGGGACCTTTTTTTCCTAGAACCCATTAGCTGACTAGACGGAGTTGCGTTAATTTTTAGACAAGTTAGGCGGTTTCGTAGCGTTTTTCTAACAATGTCTTTTCCTGAAGTGAACCAAAACTTCTGTCGTATCAAAGATAAGACTACTGAAGTTAAAGTTTATGATAATATTCAATTAGTATTTTAGTCACATGATGTGATTTTGGCAAAAACATAGAGTTACTCTTAGAGTTTTGTCACAGTCCGAGAATGGAGATAGTGGAAGGTATCTAGAATTTTTAGGAACAATTCCATTAGCTTCAATGGAATGAATTTCCGGTTTAAACCTGCTGGACTTGTTTTATGATACATGAAATTGATTTAGTCAGTTCGTCACATTGTAGTCTGCCTGATAATCTATTTCCAGCTTCGGTCTTGGCATTATTTATGAATCTTCTGCACCAGGAAATAATTCTATGAAGTTAAGTATATGATGACTATTTTTGAAACAATTCATCAATGTATCTTTAGTGTTGAGGGAATCAGGAGTTTGTTGTTATACATTCCCTTTGTATCAATATTGTTCTCCGATAACCATAATATTCCATTCCACCAAAGATGAACGTTTTTTAGTCTTTCTGGAGAAATTCCCCTTGATGCGCATCTACAGGATTTGTAACACCAGCAAAGTGGTTGCATTCGCCAATATTTGTTACCCAAGTCAAAATTTTTCATGGTTTTCCATTGATGGACCCCATGGCAGGAATTCGGACAGATTTATGATGGTCCAACATAAGATTAGAAACTTGTTTTGGTGGTTTGTTCATGTTGCAACATCAGAAATTTCCATCATTCTATCTTAGAAATGGAACATGATGGACCTTTAAGATTTAGTCTCATCACATCTTATTGTTTGAACTATTATATCCATGACGGTTTTCAAATGCAATCCCGGTGGTTGGGGTTTCAGTGTGTAAAACGTTATGCACATTTCAGTGCGAAAAACTCACATTGTGTGTGAATTTTGATTACAATATTATTTATAAAAAGAATTTTGTATGTCCAAGAACAATTTATAACCGAAGTATTTTAAATTAAACACTGAAACATTAGACTATTGAGGCAATTATTCTGTAATATAGCAGATAATCTTATATCTAAATAATTACAAACCAGGCTAATTAGCAAGAAATACTAAAAAATGTAAGCTTGTAACACAATTAAAAAATTTTACAAATATTTAAATAAAATGAACATTTAATGCTAAAATAAAAGTAAGCATTTTTATTTAAAATCTTTTATTTAAATAGGGCATATTATTCAAGCACATTCTTTCCAACAACAAGCACACATAATTCAAGATTATAATGGTCAGTTCTCATTTACAAACTTCCTTATATCGACAAACTTCCTTGATACTAGCTTTATTATTATACTACTGAACTTATTTCCTATATGACCTCGTATTACAACTAGAAGAAAAAACAAGAAAGAGCAAACAAATTAACAGCTTCTTTAAATAACTAATAATAATTTTTACAACTCAGTATAAGGTGAAATTCAAACAAGACCTGAAATAAATAAAATAATAGAAATTTAAAATTAGCCTACTTTTAAGAAAGATGTTTGATTAATATTTGTATCAATTTGTGACATACGTTCATAAAAAAGGACGTAAATGCAGAAAAATTGGCAGTTGAAAAATTATGAGGATGTTTGGAAATATTTGGACAAACTATGTAGATTTCTGCATCTTTGCACAATTTGTTTAGTCCAAATATAAAATTTTTTTGGAACTACTTGATGCTAATATAAAATTTTATGTAAATACTCTACTTTCTTCAAAAATACTTTTTTAAACAAATACCAAAATAGTAACTTTTACAATAGTAACAAATACAAAATAGTAACTTTTTTACAAATACCAAAATAGTAAATATTTTTAGCTATTTAGCCAGAAAAATGCAGTTTGGTTAATCATTGACTGGGAAAACAATTCTACGTATACAGTGGTTTTCTACGAAAGAAATACGCATTAATTTTAATGAAATTCGGGCAATCGCATATAACAATATAAATTGAGTACTCTTTTCTTGCGAACTGTATCATTCCAGGGTTCCCAAAGGTGGGCTCAGTCCAATAAAACCCATCTTTTTACACACCAAATGAGTTTTTTCACATTTCATTATTTCCAATCATTTTTCTTTGAAATTACCAAACCAAGATGTTCTTTGAAATAATCTATGAACTTATTGTTTTACTTAGTAACTTTTTAGGCTGGTGGGCAAAAATATAAAAAATTAAACAAATAATATGCAGCTTCTTTTCTTATAAACTTATATATTTTAAAAATACAGTTTCAAAAAATTTCTAGTTCCAGTGAGTTTATTTAAATTTTAATTGTGGTTTTATTTTTAACTATGTCAGAAACTTGTGTTTGATTAGAAAATAAATGCTCATAGTTGCCAAAAGAAAAATACAAGAAAATAGATTTTATGCATTAGAAAATATAAACAAACAAGTAAGCAACATAAAAAATCCACACACAGATTTGTATAAGTATGTTATATTAAATAAAGGCTAATAACTTCAGAACTAAATCATACCTATAGCTACAGGATTGCAAACTGATTTAAATTAAACAGTTGAAATAGGAATTTTACAACTGTGCAAAACCTTTCAATATTTTATACGTGTAAACAATTTAAAACTATATATGCTAAAATAAAATTAACTAAATAATGAAGAATTTAAGTCTACTTAAACAATTCAGTTTATCATTTAAAAATTATTTTGCTAATTTTTCGTTTATTGGAATTTGTTTTAAAAAATTCATAATATAAAAAATTAAAATCAATTTTCTTATTTCAAATAGGATAGAATTTTAACAGACAAAATATAATCTTTAACCCAACAATACAACAATCTTTTGTCCAACAATAAAAAACATAGCATGATGGTTGAACCATCATACTAGTTAAACAAGATATTCCAATTTATTTTTATGGCTGTTGTTGGTCTAACATTAATAAACATACCATAATGGTTGAACCATCATAATCGATGAACAACATCTATTAAATACGATGATATGATCTCAGATCTCGGGGGTTTCAATATAACAAACGCCTTTTAACATAATATATATTTAATAGCAAAAGGATGATGATAATGGTACAGTGTCATGGAGGAAACTGATTAGAAAACTAATGATTTTACATTGCTGCGCAGAGCGCCATCTCTTGAGTTTTAGAAATTATAATTAATATGGAGAAATATTATTAACAACATCTTCAATCATATTTTAATGGCTGTTGTTGGTCCAACATAAGTGAACACAACTTTTTGGTAAACCATCAAAATGGCCATACAACATCTTCCCTTATATTTTGATGGTTGTTATTGGTCCAACAATAAAAACATAAATTGCTGGTTTACCAACATGATGATAAACTAACATCTCTCATCTTATTTTGATGGTTGTTTTTGGTCCAACTACAACATACATAACATGGTGGTTGAACCATCATAGTACTAAAACAACATGTTCCATCTTAATTTGATGGTTGCTGTTGGTTCAACAATATTAAACATAACACGATGGTTAAACATTATAATAGTAAAACAATATCTTCCATCATATTTGAATGGTTGTTGTTGGTCCAACATTAATAAACACATCTTGTTGGTGGACCATCAAAATAGCCATACAGCATATTCCATCATATTTTGATGGTTGTTGTTTTTCCAACAATAAAAAACATAACTTGTTGGTTAACCATCATAATGGTAAAACATTTGCCATCAAAATATGATGGCTTATATAGATCCATTAAAAATCAAACATTGCTTGATGGTTTACCATCGTAACATAAAGAAAAATTTTCAATTTTGTAGTGATGGAAATTTGTTGGGCCATCAAAAACCATCAAAGCTAGATGGAAATTGTTGTATGATGGTTTCCATCAACACATGTTGGACTATCGAAAATCTTACTTAAACCAACATAAATCAATTCTTTGATGGTACCTCGAGATACGAGTTAAACTCGTTCCGTAACCTAGCTCGTATCTCAAAGCAATTTTTCTCACTGAAATTATTTGAAATGCCATTAATCCGTTCTAGCCCCAAAAATGCTACCCCCAATTGTTTTTGAATAAGAAAAATGTATTTATAAATGACAAATATTGTACAAAATCATAATAAAAGAGAATGTATGGCAAAAAAACTGCTTTTATAAAGTCTACATACATATTTGTATTTTGGTCACTTAAATGCTTCTGTATGCTTAATTTTAGCTTTTATCTTATCTGGTCTTTGCCTTTTCACCGGATTCAAAAATAAAAAAATTACTGTCCAAGGAGTTTTGTTTCTTCCTACCTTTCAGAATGTTGCGGAAATGAGTTAGGCAAGTGTCATTAAATAGCTCCGTTGCACGACTAGTTGCAACTTTTTCGGTGTGTTTCTTTTCCACGAACTGTGAATTTCTCTCCCACATTCCCAAGCTCTCTTTTATCTCACTTGTAGATATAACCTCCTCCACCTCGAACCCAATTTCTTGCAGAACCCCCGAATGCTTGTAAATCCTCGGTCGTCAGTTCCTGAGAGTGCTCCTTGACGAGCTCGTTCACGTCTCTTTCATCCATCACCAGGCCCATAGATTTTCCCAGAGACACAATCTCCTCCACTGGCACTTTGGGTTCGAATTCTTCGCAGGTCCTTTCGGCTACAGACTCAGGCCACGGCTGTTGGAATTATTTTTAATTCAAATAAATAGAGATCGCGCGCGCTGTAGAAAAAAGCGTAAGTGTAGCCTAAGTGTTGAATATAGAATTATTTTAAGGCAGATGCGTATAGTAATCATGTCGACAGAAATTAAGTAGTAGATTTTTTATGTGTGATGTTGTGTGTTATGTTGTACTTGGTTTTATTTGTTATATTGTAATTGGTTCATGTAAATAAAGGATAAAAGTAGATATATTTAATATTATTAAATTGAGATATTCGAGACAATGATAGCAATATCAAAACAGAATTCAATCGCCAGAACCCCACCTCTGAGAAACGGTAAGAAGATTATTTCTTTCTTTCTTGTGAATAAGAAATTTTTTTTCTTTTTTTTTTGTGAATTTTGTGCTGGACTTGCTTTATCTAGAGCCCAACCAGGCGCGATTGTTTGAATTATTACTATTGTTGAATTTGAACTGAGGAAATATTAAATATGACTGAACCAATTAAAAATAAGGAACTAGATAAATGAAAATGGAAAAGAAAAACATTAGAAGCTAGTACAACTAAAGAAATTAATGCTATTAATGAGAATTTAGATGAAAAATTAGAAGAAATAGATTTGTTCAATTTGGAAGAAGCACAATTAAATGATAAAGAAACACAAATAAACTCTCTTAATGATAAAATTGAGGCAGAAATTGATGACCTAACAATTTTAGAAACGGAAGTTACGTCAAATCAAGAGTACAGACAAAATATAATTTTTGTTAAATCCAAAATTAACTACAAAAGTAAAGAATTGCAATAAAAAGAAACACAAACCAATTCCAATTTTACTGCAGCTATTAATAGTTCTTGGTATCACATACTAATCCATTAGTAGCAGAGAATAAAATTAAGGTTGAGCTACCTAAGATTCACATCGAAAAATTTGATGGTAATTCTGAGAATTTTCAAGAATTTTAGTCTCAGTTTAAAACCGCGATACACAATAATCAAAATCTAAATAATCTAGATAAATTTACTTATTTAAAAAGTTTGTTAAAATCAAAAGCTCAAACCGCAATTCAAGGATTATCATTGTCAGATAAAAATTACGATCTTGCCATTACAATTCTTCAAGAGCGATACAAAAAAGAAATTTTGATCAGAGCACACATTAGTAAGTTATTAAATTTGTCTCCTATTCGCATTACCTCAAATTTAACAGCACTTCGTGAATTGTATGATACATGCGAAATTCATATTCGTATAGTTTAGAATCACTTGATATACAACTTGAAAGTTATGGTAATTTACTTTTTCCTATTATAACGAAACTAATGCCTGATAGCTTATTTTTAAATTATAACCGTGACATTAATAACGAAACAGAATCATGGAATGTGACAAAATTGATAGACTATTTGAAAATTTAAATAAGAGAAAGAACATTTTCGCTTCAGAAAAAAGAAATCGATTGTTTTCAGACTTACTCTAAAAATAGAAACAATGAAAGAGAATGTAGTCTTGAAAGAAAGAAATTCTCAAAAATTACATACGATAGGAATCCGAGAGCAGCAGCATTAAATGTTATTAGTCACTAGGGGGCTCAACCCCCTGCTCGCTACCGCTCGCCAACCCCCGAGAATTGCTACGCAATTCTTTTTTGTTTGCTTCGCAAACAAATTTTAATACATTTATATAAGAATATAAATGCGCGGCAGAGCATAAGGGATTTTATTTAACAATGTACTAATCAACTTAATAATCAGTAAAATACAAAATTTTTAGTAAATTGCAAGGAATTCTATCATAATAATGAGATTCGAATACATATATATTAGAAGTTATTATAAGGGCATTAGCCGGAACTGAAGTTCCGTTACCGAAGCACGCGTGGCAGAGCAGATTTGATTCAATTCAGAGGGAATCATATACTGGATGCCGGATGCTCCCTTTAGAGTGCTTCATCCCCCCCCCAATTAATTAACATTCAAATTATAAAAACAAAAGTAAAAAACAATCACAATTTACCATAATGGTTATCAAAGAAAAAAACTATGCAAAAAAATAAGATATTTACAAAACTTCTGCAGAAACAATGTTCTTAAAGCAACATGATTAAATTCAAAGGGAATCATATACTGGATGCTCTCTTTAGAGGGCATCCCCCCCCAATTAATTTACATTCAAATTATAGAAACAAAAATAAAAAACATGATAACAATTTACCATAATGGTTATCAAAGAAAAAAATATGCACAAAAATAAGATATTTACAAAACTTCTGTGTAAACAATGTTCTTAATTGAGGAACTTTCAATGTCACTATTTGCACCAACAATCTGAATTTTTATCCCAGACATGCTCCGGCACCTTGATAAAACAACATATAGTTGGCCATGGCCAAATAGTGGAGAATTCTGGTCTATGTAAAGGCCAACTTTGTCAAAAGTCTGGCCTTGAGCTTTATTGATTGTCATAGCGAATGCGAGTCTGACTGGAAATTGCGTGCGATGCAAAACGAAAGGCAACTCTTTATTATCACCAGTATTTAAAGTAATGCGAGGGATGCAAGCTGAACTACCAGCTTTACTTCCAGTCATAACTGTACAAAAGAGAACATTTTTAGTTATTTTCCGTACAATCAGACGTGTGCCATTGCACAATCCATCGGCAATACACAAATTTCTGATTAGCATCACTACAGCTCTAACTTTAAGTTGAAGTATATGAATCGGCAATCCTGTGATATTGACTTTCGCCAAATATTCTGGCTGAAAGGGCAACATTACACTTTCATCGTCCGTTTCATCACCATCACATGAAGTAGCTTTATTATATGAACGGGATTCAATAATATTGCCGGGCAGTTTTTGTAGGACGGCACTGTTAAGTTTATGAACTTGATCATTTAGTGGAGCAAGAAGAACTGAGGTGCGTAATACATCTTCAGTTAGTATTTCACCGATTATGTTTTCACATAGGAATTCACGAACTGTCAGATGAGATACTGAACCGTTTCCAACAGTAAGAAGCCAATCACCGAAGCTTTGTGCTGTAGCATGCATATTTTTGTTAAGCGAAAATCGCTTTACTGTTTCCCACATCGGCAAACATTTCATTTGTCGATTTATTCTTCGACGCTCTTGTTCATTTTGACGAAACGTGGGATCTAGTCTCCGCTGTCTGCGATATTCTCGATCGCGATCTGTCCTGTCAGACATTATACTGAAATTCCAAATGATTGAAATGAGTTATAATAGCAAACAACAAAAATGTAAACATTAAAAGATATCAATCACTGGATAGGCATAAGAATGATAAGATAAGATGAGATGTAATCTGCAAAAACCCACTCATAGTAAATCAACAAAAAGCTTTGACGCGAATGCGTTCTCTTTTCTGATTGGCTTAAAACTGCATCCTCGCTTGGATTGGCTACTTCTTTCATACTGTCACGTGATACCTTAGATTTCATTGGCTGGTGCGACACCATCATTGGACTTTTATATATAGTTAGATAAAAAAAAATTTTATATTTTGTTATGAAAATCATGAATTAGATATTTGTACTAAAAGCCGATATATTTGTACTAAAAGCATATATATTTGTACTAAAAGCATAAATGAGATAAAGGAAATTTTAAAACGCGAATGGCGATGCTTTCTTTGTTTAAAAAGAAATCACTTGGTTAAAAACTGTAAGTCTAAAACGAGATGTACAATTTGTAATTGAAAACACAATAATCTTATCTGTGAAGGGGGAAAACAGATGCTTTAGTTTCTTCCATACAAAACGAAAACACAAAAAGCAGCATATATTTGCAAACCCTTTGGATATTGAGAAGAGTCATAGATCGAGTGTTATTTGACCTCGGGGCTCATCGCTCCTTCATATCGAGTAGTGTGGCAAAGAAATTAAACTTAGAGGGGGTGGAGGAGGAAATAGTTTCAATTCATTCATTCGGTTCGAAAGCGGCCATAAATCAGAAAAGAAAAATATATAAGATCAAATGAAAGAATCCTCTTATAAATAATAAGAGCATTGTAAGTACACAAGAGGATGGAAGGAAACACCATCACTAAGAGCTCAGTATTTTAAACTAAACTCAGTGGCGTGACAGCCCATAGAGGGCCAAGGCCTACTGTGCCCATCTCAGTTTTCTTGACCTTGGGCTCTGGGGTGCAGGAGCAGATGTTCCGGTCAGGTGGTCAGCTCAGCCGAACGCGGAATCCCCAGTGTTTAGTTCCCAAGTATGCTTGGTACTCATTTATCGACCCACTGAAGGGATAAAAGGCTGAGTTAACCTTGCCCGGCCCGAGGATCGAACCAGGGATCTGTGGCACGACAGCGCGAAGCGCTACCGCTCAGTCACCGGACGTCGCTCAGTATTTTAATTGACTAAAATAAAAAAAGTAATTTAAAGTTTTACCCAAACTGATTGGGGTAAAAGGGAACCAGAAAGGTTCGGGAGTCAAAGTGAAGACTATTGTTATTGTTTATGCGGATAGATGGGTAGCGCCATCTGGTGCTACGAATTAACTATCCGTTACAACCTCCCCCACTGACCCCGAAGACGACCCGACCAGGGGTCAGAAGGTAAGGCACTTTGTGAACCTTGATGTATTCGAGCATTGGTAGGGGTGGGAGAGCTGGGTTTAATTGTTCATGCAGGTCTTCCTCTTCTACGCAAAGCTTGAACAGGTGCAGTTTTATTTCCTCTGAACGGAGTCAACGCTGAGGTGTGGTATACACCTACTGGTAAATTAGTTGAATCTGTGTTCGCCACAGAATATGATACTGGAGATTTTTGTTCAAGGATGACAAAAGGTCCGTCACGGAGGGGCATAAATTTTGACGTAACACCAGTATTTTTATTGTATAGGCTCGGTTTTGTAACCAGGGCTAAATATCCAGAAGTGTATGAAGGAGCATGTCTTCTTTTCTGATCCGCATACGACTTATTTTTGTCTTGTTGTTCTTGCATGATTTCCTTGGCTTCAGAAGTAAATTTTTCTAATTTCTTCAGATAAGGAGTCATCTCTGCTACAAAGTTGTCATTGTCAATAATTCCGTGAAAGTCCTTTGTAATGTCGTCGATTGTACGCAATTCTCGACCAAAATTGAGAAATGCAGTAGTTTTTCCGGTGGAACTGAACTTAAAGGTGTTGAGTGCAACACGAACCGCTGGAAGTTATTCTGACCAAGTCTCATGACGGTTGTTAACTAAGATTGCAAGTCGATGTTTTAAATCTCGGTTCTTCTTTGTTCCAGGAATGGCAATAAGGTTTAGAGGCAATGTACGACCTCTGAGATGAATCTTCACGCAATTGGTATGGACTTCTTTCTGGATCTTACTACCGTCTGCCAGAAACATTACAAGTGGACTAGGTGCGAAGGTTGTTCCTTGATTTTGCAATATATTGTAAAGGGTTTCACTATCAATTGAATGAGTTGCGGCAGTGTCTGCGCAAGCAGTACCCTGTACCGTTACCCTTCAAACTTTGGCAAGGCTGTGATCTTTTAATTGAAATTTGGTAACAGTTACCCAGGTTCAAAAATAGACAAATAACTAAGGAATTACATGAAACATTTAACAATAAAATTAAATTTTATTATAACTATAAATTTTCAACAAACACAACCTCAGTCATTTCCAGATGCCTTCATGTGCACTAAAATTTCCAATTTATACACTTTTAAATTTCCAAATGAATATACTCAAGATAAAACTTTTCGATAAAAAGCACTTTTCAATTTCATATGCACAACATTCAATTAATTCACACTAAAAGAGACATTTACGAAATAAAAATCCTAGCTCATTCTAAATTTACAAAAAGATTTAAACTTTAGGACATTATATTCCTACAACAGATAATTAAAATTAAATATCCAAGGCTCATCTTAAAATAGGTATCTTAACACCTGATAGAAATAATTTAAAATACGAAATAAAATGCTCTTCTAAAAAGGTAAGATATTAGAGTTTATAAATACACAAGGAACTTGCAGATCACCTTCTGGAACGCCCACCGGGTTTGCCGCTAGACTTGTGGACTAGGAGAACTTCGACTTTCTGACCGCCATTCAGTTCTTTAGAAACATTCGATTTTCTGCCGAGAAACGCTCAATTCTTGCCAACCGTCTTGAACTTAGCGACATTCAGTCTATCACTTCCCGTCAACTATTCTGAGGCTTCAGATCAACTTTCTTCCAGACAACAGCTCATCCGACCAATGTTGCGTACTTAGTCGCGGCATCCAGAGACTCTTTCCAAACATCAACCTTTCAGCATTTCAGCCTAGATCAACTCACTCCGAGACTCCAGCTATATCTAAACTCATTCTCGATGATACCGGCTCAGAACACACTTCTAGCAGCCATGATAGATCCTGTCAGCGGTGATGTTTCAACCCAACATTCCATCGGGCACGATCCGCACTCCCGTCGTACTGCTTTTTCAGCCACTCTTCACGCCTCTTATACTTTTTTCATCAAGGCGAAATAATCCATACTGACCTGTTTACTCGCTCAAAAGTCATCCCGCATCCAGTGGACGTCAGAACAAAAAAAAAGATCCATAAGAAAAACCAGCTACAAACCCACTAATACGCCATAAAAGTGATAATCCAATCCTCCTTAAATGTTAATACAATTTATATCCACAATCTACCCCAAAAATCCCATTTTAAAAGGATAAATAAAAATTTCTCATGAAATATCATAATTTTGATTGCATTTAAATTTTATCATAGTGGTGCCATCTATTGAAAAATAACCCTTCTTTAAAAAGTATTGATACAAAAAAAAAACTCCAATAAATTCCTATTTATTACAATACCATCGCCTCACCAAAAAAAATTAAAAGATACTTTTAATTTTTTGAAACATTAACAAGAACCAAGAAAACTAGATTACTGGTATAAAAAAAATCTGTCTTTCCTTTTTCCTTAGGCTGTTCAAAAAACAATTCCTGCTTAAAGTTCAAAATCTCTAAAAGCACTACGCGGCTTTAAACCTACTTTTAGATCTTTATTACTAAAATCAAATCTGCCCCCAACAATGTGCACCTTGCAAGGAAACAGAAAAGAGGAATCCAATTTGAGCCAAAGACGCTTAAACTGTACATAATTTAAAAAAACATTACTAAACATTCATAATCTACATTTTCAAAATAACATAGGAAAACAAAAATGGTACACGCCCAGTTTTGGCTGATTACTTATGCAACTTACAATGACCAGTGGAGACCAACCACTTACACTTATGTACATAAAAGGACTGTAGTCCACCTGCAAAAGAAAACAATCTCCACCGACCTATTACATTCCAGCCTACGTAACCAAATATATACACCCCCAGATATAAACTCCTCCTCCATACTCTGGAGAACATTTGACATTCCACCCAAAATATTCATAAACCAATTTAAAACAAGAAAAATTTAGTTAAACCCCCCTCTTACAAAAATTAATTTCTTACGACCCGTCCATTTACTCGTGGCCTCAAGTTATAACAAGGTTGCGGAAAAGGCACGAATTTACCTGTCTCATACAGTAGATTTTCTGGAGCAGGCGTCTCTACTCTTTCCCCCATTTTCACCGCGAAATTTCCAATCTCTGCTCCGCCCTTGCCACATTCTCCGTATGAACAACCCTAGTATAGCCAATATTTTTTTTATGTTGGATTTTCAAAGTGACCGGAGATATGACTTCAATCACCTTGAAAGGGCCCTCATTAAATTTTGAAAATTTCTTGCACTGGTTTTTCTTTAACACAGGATTGAACCAGTATACCTCATCACCTACTTGGAAATTATATTCCGCAGAATTTTCTAGATTTTCCCTCGCTGATGCATAAGTACTATGCAATTTACCAAGTAATTCTTTGGCAAATTCCTATTTATTACAACCCATGACTCCATTAATAGTCACTTCGAGGGTTGCCAACTGTCTTGATGGACTAGATACCGATTGAAAAATAGCACTGCTGAGGGTACCATGGTTTTTCTTGTCACTTTCTTCACAAGTAGGACATTTAGGTTTAATGACACCTGGCGTGCCACATCCATAGCATACAACTTCAGGAGGATCTTCTTTTTCACCTTATCAATTCTTTGGAAATAGGGTTTTCTCTCATGAGGTGGTTGTTTAGGAGGAAACGTCTTCTTTTGATGAAAAGATTGTACAGATTTCATCATACCACTACGGACGTTTTCGT